TCTGTAATACATATGTATAAATATCATTAATTATAGAAGTATAATATAAAAGCATATAGATATAAATAAATCCAATATGGAGGCAGTAAGAATTACAACAGCTCTCTTTGTTTGTTTTATAAGAACTTGTGCCATAATAACACATTTTCTTAGCCTAGTGGTAATAGGGTTAACAGGAGGACACACACATAACAAAGAGTTAAGTAAAAGTTGAAAAAGATACATGTAAGAAACTTAACAGGATCACATGGTTTAAAAATTAAATTCAATAAAGGCTCAATACCCTGTGAAGCTAAAGTAAGAACTCATTAGCACTTAAAAGAAGGAATGTATATGCTTTTTCAATTGTCATTTGTTCTTTATTAGGAAGAAATATTAAATTCATATATGTGTGTATATGTATATTTTTAATCTTGTTCCATCTTATTATTTAACACATAAAAGTAACAAGTGTATTTGATACACTGCATATTGGATTGATTCTGTTCCTGGCTTTGCCATTGGTGAGTTGTAGAACCTTCTGGAAACAATTTACATCTCTGTGACAGTTCCCCCAGATGTGAAAAGTATCAAGTGCCAATGGATGATGGTTTTCTATTTTTTTATTTGCTGACATGTTCAAATAGTAAACATTTTGAAATATTTTAAATATCATATATTCTGATCTGTTATGTCAATAAACTACTTTCCAGTAACTAGAACCAAATTAGGCACTTTTGAAGGTTTATTTAAAATTTTCAAAGCATTAAAATCCCACATGATAATTTATGTTTTGTTGGAGTGAATTCATGAGGAGATTCTTATCTCTCATAAAGCGCCAATAAAGTTGTCTAAATTGTCAGAGGAAAGAACTCTTGTGTAACTGTCCAAATAGTTATTGTAAAATTATTTTGCTGTAGAAGAGTGATAAACTACTTCATTAAGTAAAATTAAAGAGTTTGTTTCAATTTTGAACTTCTATTTAGATTTGTTGCCAATTACTTTGGGCTATGTTCATTGAAAAAAAAAATAAGCTTTAAATAAGAATATACTGTTCATTGTCTCATCTGATAGTAGTACCAAGGGATATTTTGTAAAAATCCTACCAGATCCAAATAAATTAGAATCCCTATTTTACTTTCTAAACCTGTGGAAGTATTTTTCAGAGCTTTCATAATCTTGACTAGAAAAACAGATGTAGTTAGTTTTGTCTCCTGAAACTCTCTTATCCATTGTCACACACAAAATAACAAATCATTCTAAGCCAAGAATTCAGCCTATAATTCACTCTTGGCACTTTTGAGTTTTGTTTAATTTAGACAAAAGCCTATGTTCTTTCAAGTGATTTTTATATCAGAAATTTTATGAAATTACCTAATACTATTTTGATAAATTCAATATATTGTTTTTCTAAATATCTGTTCATCATTATTGAAGTAGTGAACAAAACACATGATAGGAATAGAAAATAGAAAACTGAGCATGTCCCAGGTTGATGGCTATTGTAGCAGGTGATTTCAAAAAGAGCTTCCAGATAATACCCTTGAGAGTTGCCAACTGAAAGGTGTTAGCAATATTATATACCCCTTGGTAACCACAAAGAAGAGAAGGCTAAGAGTAACTTCAGTCAACTCAGGATAAAGACTCTGGCTCCATGATAACTTAACAGGACTAAACAGCTTCAGAAATCACATCTGAAAAGGACTCTCAAACATAATTGCTGCACTATTTAACTGTACGAAAGAAAGTATTGTTTTTCAATGTTCATAAGGTGTTCTTGTTAAAAGACATAGAAAGGATTCGAAATTTTTAAAATTCCTTTATGCCAATCAGTCTCGAATTTAAAAAGTGTTGTTTTTCTTTCAAGTAGGGCATATTCTCCTAGTACAAGGTGTGCTTGTTATCTGAGTATGTATTTCCAAAGGCCTGAAGTTAAAAGACTGCACAGGATACAAAATAGACCCTCACAGATTCTCTGAGAAACAGAGCACTTATTAAGTGACCCCATCAAACTATGTCTGCCCACTTTAATGCTGGCACGGAGTTTAGCCAAAATCGTCAACCGTCCCATTAGTCAGTCTCGAGCTGATTGCAGAAATTTGGAAAATTCTGATAATTCAATATAATTACAATGAAATTAAGTTACATCTACCAAGACATAGGATGTCATTAAGTTGATCAAATTAACATTGGTAAATTCCTTCAATCATACTCAACACCATAAACAAATGAGAACTTGGCAAAATTACACAACTTAAAATATATAAAAAGAAAATAAGAATAGAAGTCCAAAAGAGCATGTTGATAATCAAAATATTAATAAAGGAAATGTTTACAAAACTGAATATGTCCAAAATATTTTTCAGAAATGATCACTTGAAGAAAATCACATTATCATATAATGTCTACAAGATTATGCAAAAAATTTTCATTTTTGCAAACATAGCCTAATTTTCTTAAATAGAAGATAAAATAGAATAATTTAAATAAATATACTAGTTCTTTTAGGATAAAGTCCCAATTATTTTTTTTCTACTCTTCAAGTAAAGTTTTGTTCCTTTCTTTAAGTAGCCTCTACCTACACCACTTTATCTTAGATATGAAAAAACCTTCTACACTTACTGTTTCCTAACCCATTTCACTTTCATAAAAGCCAGAGATAATTTGACATTGTAACAATCAAACCCCATGCAGAATGTGAAATGAAATCTAACTATGGTAAATATCCATTCTTTACTCTACTTTCCCAGTGATTTGCTCCATCCTAAGGATATAGATTCTAGATATGTTCCAGTGACATTTTCTTGTTGATTTTAATAATAACCTTAATATCAGCACACTGAGTCTACCTATGCAATAAGAAAATAACAAGTGAACAAATATTAATTATAATAATTGGAGTGACAACTCTCCAATTTAACGTAAATTTTTATAGTGTTTGTAGAATGTAGATTTACAGTATACAGACTTATGATACTCACACTAGTTCTGAAAGACATCCTATATAATAAAGAGGTAATATGCAAAGGGTCGTTTAGCTACAAGCGGAGGAGAGCTACAGGAGGGTGGGGCAGAGAGCTATAGTGGTAGTGGGCGGGGTGGCCAACTGAGGCAAGCGGCAGGGAGCTACGCGCACACTGATTTGCACATGGATTCGTGCACAGATTCGAGCACAGGGCCACTAGTTTCCTCTATAAATAGAGGATTGTCCATCTTTTCCCTAGTTTGATACAGAATACCAGGTAGTCACACAAATTCTTGCATTTACTCGGATACATAAAATGGAACGCAACAGAAGCCAACAGAAAATTAAATTCAAATATTTACAGAAGCAATACAAAGGACTGAGTTTGAGATACAACAGTAGAAAAGAAACAGAAGAACTAACAGTTTAAAAACTGTCTGTGAATGTGTGTTTGATAAAGAGAGACAGAGGCAGAACAAAATTTCAGAAGTGACACAGATTCCCACCCACCTGGGTGCCTGCCACAAGGGCATTGCCACTAAGAAAGTCAACTTGATGGGGGATAGATCGGATATGCCAGGTGTGAGAAGATAGCGAAGGAAGTACTTAATAGAATGTTGAAAAATGTATGACTGAAGCTGGGCAATCAGATGCAAGTACACTTTGAGTCATCTCATCCAAACTGGAAATAAAAGGAGCTAGACTATTAAATGAAACTAACATTGTGTGCCTGCCAAGGGCCCAGTACTGTGATGTCAACTAAACTTTGCATGCACTCATTTTAATCCTAAAAGATTTAAGAGGTAGGGTTATTAGCCTCATTTCTAAAGTGAAGAAAGTAGCCTCATAAAAGTTAAGAAACCTAATCAGGGAACTGAGGTATTCTGAGATCCAGGCCTTGCCCTCATCACAGCACTGTACTGCCTTTTCAGAATAATATCTGGGAACATGGACCAAATGAAATTTCTAAGCAAGTTATAATGTGGAGAAAAGAACAGAGAGCCAAACACAGAATTCTGAACTTACCACTATCCTACAGAGCCTTAAAGCCTTCCAGCACTGGGTACATTTTCATAACGTTCTTAAAAAACTTCAATTAAAACATCTATTAAAATCAGTCAAGTGGAACTTAGATTTCCATAATCAGCAGGACCCAAGCAACTTATCCTTGGGGCATATAACCAAATACAACAAACAGGGCAGTGAATTAAACCTCCTTCAATTGCTAATTTGTTTCTACTTGCACTGCTTAGTCTAGAGTTACGTCTTTATAGTGTGAATTATCTTTATTCTGTATTAATGCTCTTACTAACAAGAATTAAATTTCCACACTATGGAACAGGCCTGAGCTTTAGGAACTTGGCAATTGCTAAGCACTTGTTTGGAGAATTTCATGTTGGGAACCCCTTCCCACAGCAAAATGCTACAGATCAGATTGGGCTCCTCAGGCAATGTGGCGGGCCTCGCCTCTAGTTTCCTTTCTTCTTGGTTTTGCTCTCAGATATTCCCCTCTGCTACACAAGTAAATTCTTTTACTCTTTCACAGAAAGATCTCTCCAAAGGTTGTATGGGCTATTCTTCTGGGAATTCTCTTTGATCTGTTGCTCACTCTACTTTTGCTGTCCATGTAACAGAGAAGATGAAACAACCTAAGAGTAAATTTTCTCTCATCTGGTTTTTTCCTCTCATTTTTTTTTTAACTTCAGGATTTATTCTCTAATGGGATCCTGGTAATATGCTAAATAAAGCTCTTTCACATTATCCAAACAGCTAGTCAATGCAGCAATACATTATGAGATTTTAATAAAGAAAAAGAAATGAAATTGGTTCCTAGGTTGAATTACATTGTTTTCCAAACCTGTCAGTTCAACCAAAGAAGGCGAGGCAGTCGATAGAACTCATAGTAAGAGAGTAAGTTCAAGAATCCACAAAGAAGAGTTGCTTCTGTGGGGTTTGAATGGATTTCCTCTGCTTGATGGAATTGTGTTAAATAAAAAGTTGAATTCCAAAAAGGAAGCATATGTTTGGAGAGAAAAGTTTGCATTAATTCACTTACTGAAATAACAACAACAGGATACAAAACAGAAAGATGACTCTCTTTAAGCATATTCAGTAGTTTCTGGGTTTCTTCAAATGCAGAGGTCATAACCTGAAAGACCAGAAAAGTAAAAGGAGGTGAAAAGAAGTTCTTAAATTATTTAAAAGTTAATTCAAGGAGAAAACATGAGAACTTCTATACAATTACTCAAAATATTTATAAAGCTCAATTTTTAATCAATTTTAAAGAGCACCCATAAGTTTATACCTATTAAATGTGTACCAGTTATTAATTTGTACCTGTGTAGTCTTATCTGCTTTATACCAAGTACAAAATAGAAAACTGAAAATACTGTTCAAGGAAATATCAACCTCTTCTCATGATGAGAATTAGCTTGTTAGAAAATGTTATTCTCCGACTTCAAAAGATAAAAAATAAAACTTCCAAGTACATATTAAATGACACAACTCACCTATCAAAATCTTAAAATCAAATATTTACTGATCAAGAAACATAGATTCTCTTCCCCATTACATGTGTAAGATCCCCAAGTGCTTTCGGTCATTTATATTTACTACTTACATTCACGCAAACAAAACTGTAGCATTGCTCTAAGATGATTTGCTGAAGATCTCTGCCAGCTTGACCCAGAGGCCCAGATGTGACTTTCACATTCTAGGGGAGAAAAAATAGAGGGGGAAAACAGAGTTTCCAAATGAGATAGAAAGACCAAACATGAACATAAACAACTTTGTTATAAATGAATACAAATTTGCTGCAGACACAGAGAGCCAAGGACCATATGTAAAAACAAATAATTCTGGCTGAAGTTTATGAGGTTATCAAGAGAAAAAGCATTTGAACTAGTCCATAAATAATGATTATTATTTTAGCAAACAAGGATATTGGGAAATTATTTCAGATAAAAAAAATACATTAAAAAGGCACAGGATATATTCTCGTACAGGCAAGTAGCGGGGCGGGGGGGGGGTTTCTTACACAAAGAATGTATTGCAGAGAATGTTGGAATAAAATTGAAAGGTTGGTTAGCTTGTTGGAGGATTCTGGAAGCATGTTAAATTACGACAGTTACAAAGAATAGGTTTAACAAAACCTGGAGTGACTAGAGGCTAGGAAAGCAATAAGAAATTATTATATGTGACAGAGAAAAGAATTGAACTAGGGCAATAATAATAAGATAAAAGAAGAGGTGAAGAGATAATTACTAATGGTAATCCCAGACTAGATTTAGAAGGAATGGTACATATATTACAAACACTTACCTAATAAGATTTTTATTCCATATATTCAATATTCTAATTAATTTATATTACAACTTAATTACGAAACAAGGGATCTGTTTGGAGATATATATTACATGAGTGTGTGTGTAATTCCTTTTAGATTAAATCTAAAATTGTGAATTTGTCATTAAAATACTCCAGATCCTCATATATTCTATTCAAATCTTAACCATCCAACTTCACTCTTCAACACAAATATTCTTTTTTAAAAAATATATTGTATTGATTTTTTACAGAGAGGAAGGGAGAGGGATAGAGAGTTAGAAACATTGATGAGAGAGAAACATCAATCAGCTGCCTCCTGCACACTCCCTACTGGGGATGTGCCCGCAACCAAGGTACATGCCCTTGACCGGAATCGAACCTGGGACCCTTCAGTCTGCAGGCCGACGCTCTATCCACTGAGCCAAACCGGTTAGGGCAACACAAATATTCCTAAACTCTAAGGTCACAAACACTGGGCTCATTCTTGCCTGTGATGGCCATCCCATGTTGACTTCAATATATACTGCTTCCTTATTAAAACTATTATATAAATATATATTTCTTAAACTCGATTATGAACAGTTAATAAATATAACATAAGCTCTTAGAAAATAGGATATAGATAGAAAGCACAGTACCCAGCATAAGTGTTAGTTGTTGTTATTATTAAAAATGTATTTGCTCTACAATTATGTGATAAATTAAAAGCTTCATGAAATGCACACACAATATTTTTACAAATGGTATTAAATATATTATCATTTTGGTATCCCCTTTAAAAAAACACAAAACAAAATTATAATTTTTTTCCTTCTTGAAACTGAGACTCTTTTAATAATTGTTTCCAGTTAAGTGTAATTATTTTATTTGGTTATATTGCTTTCCTCCCAAGCAGAAACAAACAGTGTTTTCCATGCTTGAGTAAAGAAATTTAGAGATTACCTAAATATAGCAAAGGAGTCTTTGACACCTTTGATAAACAAAGACCGCATTAGACAATGCTATTAGGTTGTTTATGAAAAGGCTCTACAGCATCATCTATGCTGTCATTCCTAATGTTTCCACACTCAAACACAACAAATGGAACAATTTGCTGGCTAGAAGAACTCCCTGTTCTGTAAATATTTTGGTTCAAAGAACATTTAAACAAAATTTAAAACAATCTTCCAATGTGTTCAGTAAAACTGAAGTACACAAAAAATAAAATGAAATACTTTCCTTACATCATAATAAAAATTTTAAAAAAATTTAGTGTTAACTAAATGCAAACATCTGCATATTCAGAATATTACTTAAAGCATGAATTTTAGGCAAGAAGATAGGCTGTCAACAAGTGTTTTCCATTTCAAGAAGAGTTAAGGCTAACTGAGGCTAAAAGGCTTTGGTTCATGTCCCATGAGTTAGAGGTTCAAAAATCTTTTTACAGATAGAATATGTTGGCTAGATCATCTCTGATTCTGAATTACTCAATTTTCACCCACCTCCTGTTTAAACAATGGCACAAATGTGGGTATACAGAAGGGAACTGGAGAGATGCAGTTTCATTCTACCCTGTAAACAACACTAAGAATTAAAAGTCTTACGGTTGTCTGGGGCTGGGGTGTGGGAGAAATGGGGAGACGTTGGTCTAAGGGTACAGAGTTTCAGCCCCACTTCTAGAAATATATCCTAAGAAACATGAAACACCAATCAAAAAGAGTGTATGCACTCCTATGTTCAGAGCAGCATAATTTACAATAGCTAAGATGTGGAAACAACCCAAGTGCCCACTAGTGAATGAATGGATAAAAAAGCCGTGGTTCATTTATACCATGGAATACTATGCAGTGGTAAAAAAGAAGGATCTCTTACACTTTGAGACAGCACGGAGGGACCTAGAGAGGATGATGCTAAGCGAAATAAGCCAATCAGAGAAAGGCAAGTATCACATGATTTCACTTATATGTGGAATCTAACGGACAAAATAAACTGTTGAACAAAACAGATCCAGAGACATAGAAGCATGGAATAGACTGTCGAATCTCAGAGGGAAGGTGGGGGTTGGGGGGTGGGTGGGGGAAAAGAGGTCCACCAAAAAGCTTGTATGCATATATGCATAACCCATGGACACAGACTATAGGATGGTGGAGGCCTGGGGCGGGGGACGAGGATGGGTTATAAGGGGGTCATTGGGAGAAAACAGGGGACACATGTAATACTTTTACCAATTAAGTTTTTTTAAAGTTTCAGTTATGCAAGATGAACATATTCTGGAGTTCTATTGTGTAGCATGTTGACTGTAATTAATAATACTGTATGTACATTTGAAATTTACTCAGAAAGTAAAGCTTAAGTGTTTTTACCAAATAAAAAAACAAAGGAAATGGTAACTATATGAGTGATGGATAAGTTCATTAGCTTGACTGTGGTGATCATTTCAAAGTGCATAGCAAAATATCAAGTTGTATATCTTAAATATACACAATTTTATTTGTCAATTATATACCTTCATAAAGCTGGGAGGGAAAGACTTTCTATAATGCAAATCCAGGTTTTTGAAGGGAACTTTCTGTAGCTGTGACTGCTACCCACTGACGGCTGAGACTGGCCATCAGCTCATCAGTCACTGCCTTGATCAGCGCTGTCTCTGGCCTGTGGGTGCTGCACCTGGGCCTTCAGCCAGAGGATAGCAGCCAGGGCCTCCCCATCTTTATTTTTAGAAATCTTCACCTGAGATACTCCTTTAAGTAGTACTCACTATTTCCAAATTTTGAGTTGCCAATTAAACTTTTCTTCATGGTTATTTTTAAACGTCTGTGGAGGTTTTGCCCACCTAGGATTCAGCATTTACTGCACTTTTTTATTTTTATTTTGAGTTAGCTTTAAAGCATCGTTTTGTAGTTACAAGCCTCTGGAGCCAAGCTCCCTGGGTGTGAATCTAGCTCTGCAACAAACCTGCGGTTTATTCATTAGTAAAAGCAATACTTCAAGAGAGTTCGGAAGATTGGTTAATTAATAGGTGAGATTTAAGGAGTAATTTTTACAGGAATTTATCCCTAAAGGTTAGCCTCCTGGAAAGCTTCAGAGAAAAAAAGCTTTCAGGCAATGAATCTCGGTAGAGTTTTGAGGTAATAAATGAACCAGGTTCCTATTCTGCCATGTTAAATGGATCTCCAATCACAAACAACGAAGCTGCTGAATCATACCAGTGGCCACCACAAAGACTCATACCCCAGCCTGTTGGACAGACCAGAGAAAGTCTTGATGTTCTCCCAATCCTAAAGGCTGGACAGGCAGAACAGCTCTAGGACCAAGGTGCTGCCATGTGCTCAGGTGCTGAATCCCAGGTTCTTACCACACCCGGGGAAGGGCTGGTGCTTCCCTGGTAATTCAGCTTCAAAGCCACACTGCACCCAGGTTGGAGTCTGACATTCAGCCTGGAAGATCCATTTGCAATGCCACAGAATGCACTAGATGCTGTCTCCATTCCTGAGACCAGAGACTTTTCCTCAATCCCACTGTCCTAAAAAGTCTAAAGTCTAGTGTGAATGCTGCCATGTCAGCCAACCTTGCACATATTGCTATATTAAATGTTCGCTATTATCATTCTACACACTTTTATTTAATTTCCACTTCTGAAAATTCCCTTTGAAGGCCAATTATTGTTCTATGCAAAAGTACAGGAATGTACAATGGAAAAATAGCCTTATTACTAACAAACCTGAGCACTACCACAAAAAATTCAAGGTTCCCATTTTATCATACAGCTTGTATGTCCAAATCTAGATAATGTCTAAACAAAAAAACAAAGCTGCCAAATGCACATTGGCTCAAGCTTATTTTTTCCATTGAGTTTTACTACAGATGTTAAGCTACATATAACTAATGGGCAATATTGTAGCAAATGAAAAATGACTGGGGGTAGCTCATATAAACTGTGTTTGGCAGGCATATTTTGTAAATATCATCCTTTTTTCCAGGATGATAGGTTAAAAAGGTATGTGCAGCAATATAACCTCTTTGTGTTTCATAGTAATGCATAAAACATTTGCAAGCTGAGAATTGGCAAGCTGACATAAACAAATCTTATCTGTCTTAATTTAACAAAAAGTCATGAAGAGTAGAGTATCCTATCCACTGATGGATGAGTTTCATTCATTCAACCAATAAATATTTATTGAAAGCTCTGAGCCGGACACTGGCAATAAACTAAACAATGCTTCTGTGGTCATAGAGCTTACATCATCTTGGGAAGAGGAAATAAAGTTTACACCTGTGTCTCTCCAATTTCAATATGTATAAGAATCTCTAGGAATTTATTAAAAATAAAAATTTTGATTCCATTAGATGTGATGTGGAGTCTAAGTATCTGGATCTATATACATAAAAGCCTAAGCAACCGAAGGA